ATGCACTTACAGAAGAACAACATCTATATCTACTAAAAGCGCAACCGCCGCCAGCTTTGAGTGAAGTACGAAGTCACGCCCTCTCCACCTCGGGAATATGGAGTGTAGATGTGGTACGACAGCGCTGCCTTGAAATTTTAGAATGCGCAACGGTAATAGAACCAAAGTAGTACCACAGACACTTTACGACGCTGTTCGGCTTGAGAGGGGCATTTTGCACTTTGCTAGTTCCTGTTGACTACGTCTCCCTTTGGTGAGACCTGAACCCCTGGTCCAAGCTCAGAAATGGTTCAAGTGAGCCAGTTTGTTCCAAAAATTTACATGTCTTCACGAGGTGGCCTGTACATGCGTTGCGGGGTTTCATTTGGTGCCCCTCTGAGGCAATGCGCCCTCTTCCTTCTGAAAAGTTCGTTTTGAAGTCTCCTGAAGAAATTAGCACTTCCAACCTGAATATCAGAGAGTAATCGTGATATGTCGCCGCTGTATATACCGACACGCCCTCCAACGTACATGGTGAAAGTCTGAACGTAGTTAGGTTAAATGTACGGCCCAAACTAGACCTATTTCAGTAAAGTGCGTTGTACTTGTTGAATTAACCACTCACCTGCATCAGATGTTCATAAATGTGCGCCAACGACAAGAAACTGAAATAGACGTCATCGCTGCCAAAGTGGAAGCGATTAGGTGGTGGAACCCATTGAACGTAGAGTCCAGCAACAGCGGCCAGTAGCGATCTATGCGACAGTTGGACTCCCTTCGGTTGGCCTGAAATCAGCACATAATCCTTGAGAGCGCATTGCGCGAGAGCCGAATGGGCGCAGACACCCAAAAGGTGAGCCCCCTTTCGGAGCGCCCGCTTCCTCAACCGATAAACAAAAGAGGTGCTACAATGACGAAGGTATAACGGCTGGTGCCTCCGTCTCCCTGGTTATCAGCGCGTCATGCGGGACCTCAAAAAGCGCAGAAACTCGCGTCAGCCACGACAGTAACGAGCGCAAAAAGTCCGATTCCCGAAAAGACAACAAGTCTGGCAAAAAGCCACCACCCTGAGACAGAGACTACGTTATCGTGCAAAAGTATCACGCCTTGCATATTCTTCAATGGTTGCTATTCCCTTTGAGCGGCTCGGAGACGGAGATCTACTACAGGGGAAGGCACCTTAGAGGGACTGAAAACGCCCATACGATCACCATAGACTGAGCATTGAGCAGGAGGAATCAAAAAGCCGAGCTGGACCATCTTGGCACAACTTACATCTACCCACGATTTAG